TATTCAATTGTCTATAGTTTTTTCTTTATAGTTTAATCGCCTCCGAGTAACATTCCCGGTTATTTTAGTTAATATGTAAATAAAGATAAAGAAATAAAACAATAGATATTAATTACCCGAATTTAAACTTTCCAGCACAACATTACATTTTGGGAATTCTCCGTAGGAAAATATATTACAGGTTTTTCCCGAGTGTTATAAACTATTGTAGATTGTAAACAGCGATACAGATGCAGACGAGATAGAACCAATGGCCGGCCTATTACGTTGTTGCTATAGCAACTGAACTATGGTATCATGTGACAAAAAAAGCATCTCTCTCGAGAGATATGTCGTAGCGCGCATATCTCTTCTACATGAAGCCAATCATTCCTCTCGTTGCGAGCCATTCATGAGACTACTTAACGAATAACTTGAGTTATACCAGTGGAATACAAATCGTATATTTTTAAGAGCGTAAATACCTCTATTTACGTAATTCAAATAAGCCTTCAATAGAATAGCAAAAAAGAAAGCAAGTACAACGGTTATATTATTTATTTCTATATAATAATACTTCTGAAATAATAAACATCATTATTTATTTACCTCGTTGTCGACTAAGCGAACATTTTAAAGTAATGTAAGCCTACGAAATATCTACGCCGTAGGACACAGAATATGCCATCTACAGAACCTATTAAACATGATATATATTAGATCAATTTTATTAAAATTTTACTAGATAACCAAAACTATGACCTGAAGTTTGAACTTAAGATTTCAGCGTTTAACGCTTCACAATAGATTTACCCAATGGGGCATTGAAATGGACATAAAAAGTGCTAAATTTGAAATTACATCGCGCGAGAGGTGCAAGTTAAGACAATTCTACGATGAGATGTGGTACTCGGTAGCTCAATTTGTATAGTAACGCCGATGTTGGTTCAAGTCCTGTCCGAGTCGATTTTTTTTTTAATTTTTCAATTTTTGGTCTACATAGTGCCATCATGTGCATCGTGTAAACAATATTAAAGTTTGAAAACATTAATATTTTTCACATGTTATTGCACATGAAGGCACTATATAATTTAAAGATCGAAAATAAATTGAAAAAATTTTCGACTCGGGCAGGACTTGAACCGGCATCGTCAGCTTTCCGTGCTGTTGCTCTACAGAGCATATATTAAAGTTTTCAAATGGACCTAAAAGTTAAAACGGTTTTAATTCGTGTAGTTTTGTTTCGTCGCGATAGTGCGTTAAATTCGCGCGCATGCAAATGGCGTCCACAGAGTCGCAGAGCGGCTAATGATCGCCATTCATCGTGATCTGCATTGATATGGAGCTATTATTGCTTCTGAATACAGCTTCAACCATCGGTCACCCATTTGTCATGGCTACATCGATACTAACTTAAGCTAATTACCTTATCGTCAAACGATCTAGAACCTACTAGAACCTTAGCGAAGTTAATAATTTAAATAAAACAATTTAAAATAATCTACTCACTGTTAAAATAATCAACTAATATATATCGATAGATATATATTAGTTGAAATTATTTTAACAGCCGATATTTTAGCAGCCGTGGTCGCGAGAAGACCCATGCCCATCAGAAACGTCGGGCCGTAGTTAAAATAATTTCCAAATAGGTTTATCTAATATAAATCCCGTTTTAAACCGTTAAATTGTTTTATTTAAATGTGTACTAGTTGAGTACTACGTAATAATGAGGAAATTCGAAACACTTTCGTACATTGTCAGATACGGAATGTTAAATATTTATATTTAATCAATAATCTAACCGTTATCACGCTTTAATAAAGCCAGTATTTAAAGTCTTACGTAAAGCAACCAGAGAATCTATCTATCGAAATAGGTATTCTGGTCGAAGTTATAAATAAATGTAACTGAAATATAATTATATCTGCGAACACTACAGACAATAACTAAATGAAAAATTAAATTAAAACGTTTACCACTTTTGGTGTTGCCGTGTTCTTGGGTGTCTCAAGCCGATCATTTCAAGTTATTAAAAAAGGATTGTATACTTATAAAAATCAATACAGATAACAAAATACTCTAAATTTACACTTACTACTAATTCTTGAACTATGTGCGTAAAACCAACGAGAAAGGCTAGCAAGAGACTCCACTGCGTTTATCGTTAAGTTTCATTCGAGTATTGTCTGTGGTTTACGCGGATAGTAAAAAAAAAAACAAAACAAAACAATAGTACTCATTTAAATAAAATATTTTGCAACAGCCGACATGTCGGGTCGTAGTTATAATAAATTAAAAATTAGTTAACTTATATATTTCGTGTTTTGAATGGTTAAAAGTGTTTCATTTAAGCGAGTCTGAATGCACTATAACTGTACTAGATTTAGTTACGTTGCTGTTACCAAATCAATGTTATATACTCCTACGAAGCTATCTTAGCTTATAATTATGTGTAATTGCACAGTTGTATGAAAATAGGCGTTCGCATTTTAGTAAACGAGCGAAAAACGTCAGGATAACTCGTGTAATTGACTTATCACCGCGCATATCCACCGATTCGATAAAAATCAACGCGAATGGCGGCGGTCGAATTGTAATGAAATTGAGGAAAAATGATTTTGATATTCAGAGAGAAACGTATGGGCGAGTATTGTCGACTCATATTGCCACCAAATGGACTGCGCCCGTTCAATTTCGATACTTTACCAACACAATAGGCGGCTGTAAGGCGTGCTCACTCACCTGTCAAATTAAAAAAGCACTTGCATATTCAAAATAACCTCGTAAAGGGTACATTCGGATAACCGGTGCGAGTTTTAATTCTCCGGAGGTAATTGGATTTCTCTCTTAGTTTCTTATTGAAATGGCGAAGTTTTTTTTTCGCGACAGAGTACGACGGATATAGAATTCACTAGATGGGAGGCGAAATAGCATATGGCTAAATGAGGCTGCTAGAGAAAAAACATGAATATCAATAATGAGAAAAAATAGCGCAATTAATTTAGGCGAAAATGAATTTGTACCATCATTTGTTTAAGAATTATGTTAAAAATTTTCGGTCGCTGTGCTCTAGTAGATTAACATTTTTAGACTATAAAACAAGTAATAAAATTGCGGTAAGGCTACTCTGTCGATCTTTTTTTACTTTGAGCTTTTAGAATTGTTCCATCTGCAAGCAGTGGTGGTGGTGGCGATCGACATTCTTACCAACCCGATGGCCCACCACCCAGACGAAGTTTACATGTTGATTATTTGCTATACATCGCTACCATTGGTCCAATGCAACCGTAGATGTGTTGCTATATAATAACAATTTTTTACAATCCACATACGTTGGTTCGTTAATGTAAACTTTGATTACAGACCAATGCCAAAATAGGGCGATAACATTTTAATTAGTAATTCACTTATTAAATAGGCTTTCTGCTAGGCTTTCCTCCTTTCTGATATACAAACACAAGCTATAAAGACTGGATTACTGTTAATTGTTGTAATTTTATTTACTAAGCTACCTTTTTTATATAATTGATTTTATAATCAAACCAATGAATTTAAAAACTATTAAAGTAAGAGTGCTTTGACGCTTACTACATCATTTAAGAAATTATCATAAAACCAAAAAAATATCAACAGGTTTTATGTTTTAATCTTCAATTCTTCAATGTACACAAAAGATACTCGCACAGACTGTAGTAAAATATGTGATATGTACACAGTTTCCGACTTAGTAGAAAATAGTAGTAGGTTTTTTTTTAAATTAATACTGTTGGCAGATTTATAATTTTAGTGAAATTATCTCTAACAAGGCAAGCATAATGTAAAACCAGATGTAAGATTGTCTCGTGTGATCGATGTCATAAATTTTATGCATTTTCGATAAATGAAAAATAAATCCAAAATTAGATTCTTATTTATTCTTTCTCTATTTTTTGGATCAATTTGCAAACTTTTAGGTCTTACAAAAACGTTAGTTCTTTGTCCAAAGATATTTGTTAGCAACAAGTGTATGTTTTTGTTGAGTTTTTTTTAATTAGAATTGGTTTCGGCCTTGCCCCTCTCGGGGTCGAATCCTGTTTTGGGCGAAATGTTACTACACTTCGGTCCAATCCTAACGTGCGAAATAGCCAAACCAGGTGCTGTAGATAAGTAAGTAGAAGTCGAACCCACAATTTTAAAAAGGTAGAAATTTGTACACAATCTTTATATAAAATTAAAAAACCAGTTTGCAACATAGAATAATTTATTTTTTATAACACATACACTGACACAGACAGTTTGTTTGACAACTGACAATATTTTTAGAAGAAGTGTTTGTACATGAAGACAGTGTCATGTAGAGATAAGATTTAGTCCGTCAATCACGTTACAGTTTATTAAGGAAGACAGATTAATTATTTAAATAAGATAATACAAAGAGCCACAGATCAAGCGCCACAAAAATGTACAAAGACATATTATGGTATATGGAAGTCACGTTAGCTTAAGTTGTTAGCATTGAACGCTGTAGATGTTGGTTCAAGTCCCGCCCGAGTCGTCAGTTTTTTTTTTAAATCTAAAATCGAGTTTTATTTTGGGAACATATATTTAAGAGGTCAAGTGTATGTCGGACTGGCACACAATATGTGTTTTGGTACCCCTGTTTAGGTTAACAAAATTTACATTACCTTTTTAGTTATTTCAAATGTTCCTTCCATTTTATACAGCAAAATAGCAACAAGAAATCGTTGTGTAAGAATTTTAACATTTTTATTATTTTTGAAAAGTTTAAAGTAAGTTAGTAAAGTTGTATTTGGCAACGGAAATCATAAAAATATTGTTCCTTTTTTATCCTTGAAAACTATTTAGAAATAGTCATTGTTAATTAAACGACCTCTAGACCAGCGAACCCAGCAGTTATGTTTTTATGACACAACGCATTGTCTCTTAATGTCAGTTCCATCAATATTTCGCAGCGTGATTGTCAGCTTTATATCACAATATTAGTTATTTCTACACATCACATGTAGATGATTTTCATGATGTCCACCGAAGACTTCCAAGTTCAGGATATTTACAGATATTCGAGAAAGTCTTATAAACCTTGTGTTATTAATCCACAAAGCTCGGAATGTCGACGTGAGAATGATGTGGTGTCCGAGTCTCCAATAAGCGAAGTTATCACAAATGGTCCTGATGTAGCCCGTTGTAGCAGTTGTGGTAACGATTCTGAAGGGGAAATAGCAAATATTTTGCACAAGAAGTGTCCTGTTATAGCATTAGCTCAGCAGCAGTTGCAGCGAGTTTTAGATGAGACGGATAAGTTGCTGGCCGATAATACTCAATGTTGCAGGTTAGGCCCAAGGTATTATACATGGCTTGTGGGTTTATTGTAGGTCCCATAAATTACATCATAACTTATATTAATGTTTGATATAAATACACTTTTTATATTGTTGAAGTTTGACATACATTACTGAAATACTCTAGTTCAAAAATCTAGTTAAATCTATAGTTTACGCGAGTAGTACACATTTGAATAAGACACTTAACAGTTTAACGCGCAAAATATTAAGTTCTTTACAGTTTTAATTAAGGCCTGACATTTTGGATGCTTTGCAGCAGCTGTTATCACTATTGTGTAACTAATACTTATATCGTTTTAAACCCTAAAGTGTTTTTTACACATTAATGACTTTGATACATCAAAATCATCAAAATCATCAAAATCATCTTTAATTGATCAAAATCTATTATGGCGTTACTCAGTTTACAGTTTTCCGATTTAAAAATATTTCCGTGTGTCCGATACAAAGCATATAGGACATCACATGTCGTGGATTCGACACTTGCATTCCATCGATTGTTTTAATTATTTTAGAATAATGTTTCAATGTTACTAATTTTGTTTGTTTTAGATCCACATACGACTTTTTATGCTTATGTAGGGATGCCTTATTAAACCAGAACCGATGTTTGTGCTTTTTAATTATCCTCGCGGTGGTGTCATTCTTTCTGGGCCTACTGTTTGGTGCTGCATCCTGTGGAGTGCATTTAAGAAAATTTAACAGTCCCATTCTTTCATGTATTGATAATTACTTTCTTATTGATAAGCAACGGGAAGATAAGTATGCAGCTATTGTGTAAGGAGTTCGACTATGAACATTACCAGAATCTGAGGTGTGCTAAGAATGGCTTATGATATTTTACTAACACAATTGGTAGTAAGAATTGTGACACAGACGATTTTTACAGGCGATTGAAACTAATGCATAATACATTATTGCAAATGGCATATAATTCGTTCATAAAATGGTAGAGAGACGGCCCGGTTCTATTTTTGTTAGTAAGTTTTATTTTATGTTTAATGTTAATACAGATAGGAAGCTTATTTTTTAGAATATATTGCTTCTAAATATGATTGTTTTATTTCTAATGTTGCTACACAACATATACTAAGAATATTTGAAAATATATACGACTGTAGCTATAAACATACTTAAAATATTTCTAAATTATTCAGTCGTATTTTTTACTTTAGCAAAAGACTAACGAGTAAACAAACATAAATATCTAAGGTACTCCTATACGAAAACAAATTTTTAGTTTTCTCTCCAGATTATGGTAATATGAATTTTTGAAGTTTACAAAATGAAATTTGTTTACTAAGTCAATGATACGGAAGCCAATATGTAAGAGCGCCCATAATTTTTTTATTTCAATTTAAGAGTAAATTGGGCCACTGAAAATCAGTGTTGCAACACAAGTGTGTTCGAAACATTATGCTGAGTGGCTCCTGTTTTAGGAGTTGCAATAGTTCTTTTTTTTTTAAAGCCTTGTATGTTTTGTTTAATATGTATAAGTCTACTTATTAATTTAATCCTAGTGCATAGTTTTTACTTGTGTAAGCAACTTAAAAAAAAATTTGGTCGTCTTGGCTTGAATTGGCAAAATACAAAAAAACTCTGTCGTGAAAGCAAAGCCCAAGTGAAAGATCTTCAATAAGAAATTTTTTATTAACCTATATTACATTATATATAATTCATACGATGAATTAGTATTATGACCGCCTTCTGGGCTCAATAGTTAAATGTATTATCCTGGGTTCTAATTCCGGAAAAACACAATAAATAACTTCAAGACAGAGCCTGTAAATGAAAGCAATGTTTGCAATAGACGCAGAAATGTATCTCCTCCATCCCCATACAGAGGAAACGAGATTTAGCACGCACTATCAAGAGAACATTATCTAATCTCAATGGATTGTAAAGAGTTTCCACTTTCTATAATGCGTTGGAGACCACCGCACATTTTGCAGGTTTCGTCGACAACGAACCGAAACATCACGGTTTCACTGTCACGAAACCCGAATTTTGTGCGGTCTTTGTTTCTTTCTTTTCTTTCATGTTTCTTCTGTGTGGTCTTGCATTTAACAATCTTCATAATTCCACAGTCTTATATACAATATTAGTTGATATTCATAATAATCCAATATCCTTATAATCTCTTTCGTGTAGAATTTTCTTAAAACACACAACCAGAGGGAGACCTGCAACAAGGAAAAATTCTTTCAAACAAACCATAAAGATTTCATAAATTATAAATTAGATTTATATAATCTCAGATTTCATACAGAATTATATGAAATCCACGGGGTTCGCTTGATGGAAGATGAAATGATATCTTAGCAGCGCATCGCTGTCGAATTATTGTGTATTTTTTCAGGAGCTTATTTTTTGCATTATATTGTGTAGGTAAACTCATGCAAATTTTTCATCTAATATATACCATAATCATTATTGACAAAAAACTTAGCTTAATATAAAATTAATTATAAAGAAATGAAAAAAGCTAAAGATTCAGCCCACTTAGACATACAACAGATAGCCAATTGTTCGTTCTCGCATCAAAGTTTTCTCATTTGTTCAAGGCCCATACGTAGCGTAGGACGGGCGGGCGGCACTCAGCGCGGGACGCGTTCCGGCGCGATAAGGCGGGCGGCGCTATTGTGCCGGCGTCGGCGCACGTTTCCTCCGCGCCCGTCGGGCCTACCGCTTTGTTCACGCCGTAATGAACTAACTTATTCTTCAGGCTAAAACGCTCGAACTGCCGAATTCGCTGTTATCTCATTTTACTGTCATGACATGTGAATAAATATAATAGCAGCCGAAACCTAGTTCTGTTTGAATAGGGTTCAGGGTCTATTAGGCGGTGGCACGCGTCTGTTTGCATATATATATATGATTGTTTGACGGACTGAAGATCGAATTGGGGTTGCAAGTAGTTGAGTTATTAATACGTATATTAGGTATATAATAGACAAATACAAATCTAAAATCTAAAATCTACATGAAAATCGATTTTCAATTTTTAAAAATTTACGATACCGGCAGGACTGGGTCTAACCAATTGGGATACCATCTTACTCGTCATCGGGGAGTTTTTTTCAACGTATTAATACTTGCACTACTCGCGCGTTAAGATTCAATGTGATGTTTTGCAGCTTAAGAAAATCATTGAAGATAAAATTACAGATATCAACGTTTAAAAAGTTTAGTATTGTTCGCATGATGGCGATATATAACTAAAATCTAATTTTGTTTCAGTCGTGTACTCAAAAACCTTTCAACAAATTGTTTGTGAATGACAATACCTAAGTATTCAATCATTTTAATACGATTCATCGAATGAAGTGAGCGTTTTGTCCAATTTTGTGACAAAAATGCTACGTATATTGTGTTAGCTCCCCCCATCTCGACCGGATCCCGTCTACCGAACTGTTCGCTAAAGCATTATGCATTCACCGCGGCGCCAAAATTTCTTATTCATTCGAATATATTCAAAAATGTCTTATAGGTATTAGAGATCCGTTTTGTATGGCGAAAAAATTCGAGACGAACCGGCAATAAGTGAGTAAATCGTATTCCGATCGAGGAGAGGGCAAATCTTTTATGTAATATCAGATTGTCATCGCGATTATTACAGGCAAATAGAATACGCCGGATCAGTAAGTGGGTTATCTCCTGCTTCCTTTGCTTTAAATCGCTTTATTGGATGTTGCGTACAATTTACTTATTGCGTTATGCGCTTTCTACCAAAGACTGCTATTCTATGTAATCGAAATTGCTATGTCAAACGCTATGCACTACTAACTTAACTTGTATAAGAATTGGATAGCATGCATTTATTTAAAACTACCCGCGTGATGAGTTTTTTTTAATGTAAGTAGTTTCACGGCTGCTGCAAAGCATCCGAAACGGCGGGCCGAAGTTAAAAATCATTTTCAAATAAGTTTAACTAATATATCGCGTTTTAAACCGTTAAAGTGGTTTATTTAAATGTGTACTACTCGCGTAAACTATAGACAGTATACGTAAGTATTTATAAGTTTCTCATTAAAGTGATTTAAAGACTGAAACGAAACTTGTGAAGATGACAATTTTAATAGTTATCATGAAGACACTTATTATATTACACAGCTATTAAGAGACGTCTGTAACGGATTCAATCTTGGTCATTTTTTAAATATTACTGAGATGACTCGTTACTATAGTTGAGTACTCGAGTACAGATCATGAGGTTAGTGAGTTTGACACCGGGACGAGAGAATAGTGTAACAGTGTAAGATATTATCTAGTATCAGACTCGAGTTTCCAAGTTGACAGTATCACTAATGCCTAGTTAGTGATGACAATTTAGTGGGGGTGTTCGTTAAAGCATGTCACACTACATTGGAGCAGCTTGGTGGGTCTTATAAACTCCTTCTGTCATGAGAGAGGAGGACCTCTGCCCTATTATTTATAAGATTTTTATATAGTTATTATCCTTACCAGAATTGTGAGTGTGAAGTGTTGCATGTCACATGTCTTTTAGGACGATGTTCCCAGTTATCCTGTAAAAAATATAACATGTAGATAAGCGCAATTTTATACAAAAGACATCAATTTATGAAAAACACTTTTCAGAAAACAACTCCAACAAAAACGCCTGTCATAAGTTCGCTGTCGCAACTTCGTGAGTAAATTGTGTGTTTTAGCAGAAAACTTGAAAGTCTTCCGACATTTTTACTCACTATACACGTCAATAGGAAGAGGGTATATGTTCTCTATATAAATACATAACTAAAACGGGTTCAGTAGATTTCTAGGTTTTGATTTTGATTTATAATTTAACTACTCTATTATCTATCTAATTAAGACTTAAAAAATAAACTTACATATAGTTTAAATAATTTTAACATGTCAATACAAACGAGAACTTATAAAAATCATTGGTTTTATTTCATACTGTATCATAATATTTTTTAATAAAACACTAACTGTTTAAAACGCGATATATATAAGTTAATTATTTCAAAAATGACCCGGCGTTTTATATGTCTTGCATCAGCCATGGTCATGGTGAGACTAAAAAAAAGTCGGGCCGTAGTTAAAATATTTTTTGAAATAAGTTTAACTAATATATATCGCGTCTTAAGCCGTCAAAGTATTTTATTAAAATGTGTACTACTCGCATACACTACGGACAGTTTCATAATCTTTGTTTAACTTTTAAATAAAAAAATATGTTATTATTTGTCAACAAATTCATACGCGTTGTCATTTTTAAAAATGCTATCCAAAACCTAACAATGAAAGATTAGAAATCGTTTAAGATGCAGAAGGGCATCGATTAATATCAAACTTGGGTACCCGCGCTCAATTCTATTGTAGTGGGATAATAGCTTGTAACAATACTCAGAAATGAAGTAGTTAAAATCGATAAGAAAACGATACTTCAGCATAAAATGTAACCAGGCAACCGTCTAATGAGATGTAATATTATAACAAGTCTGCTTTGATTACGTCGCAGCAACGCCAGTGCAAGACGGGATCAGATGTGCGGAAAAATCACTGATTATCAGCTTCTAGTTGACGCAGACTGCGATATATTCATATTTAAATCACACGATGCGATTATTCTGTGTCACCTCGTGCATAAGATTCTGACTTTATATCTAGTAATAAGCTCACCGTGTAATGTGTATATTATATAAAAAGATGAAAGGACACCAGTAAAAATTCAGTATAACAACAAATCATTTTTAACGGTTTTAACCGCGACTACTGCAAAAAATGAATAAGTACAAATCGCGTTAACAATAGACTCTATTTCGCTTAACTTGACTATCAAAAGTATCGATTAATGTATAAACAAGTGTATATAATGTGTACAAACTCGATATATATACATATATACAAATAGATACAGGGCTAATTTGTTGGTTTTTAAATTATATTATTCATCTTCGTAACTATTAACGTATTTTTTAAACTAAATAGTGTTTCGTGTCGTATTATTTTCGATTCATTTTCTCCTCAACGATTTATCATTGTTTTACCCTATACAAATTAGAAATCGATTTTTGATAGAAAACATTTTACGAGACGGTCAGCTCTAGAAACACAAAAAAAAAGTGAATAGAATTGGTTAGAGCAACAGAACGATGTGAATGCTGGTTCGACTGCCCGTATCGTATTATTTTCAATCTAAATGTTGTTTTTAATTTATATAATGCCATCACGTTCAATAACATGTGAAAAATATTAAAGGATTCAAACACTATGACACCTTTTCTTTTGTAAGGTACAAAAAACAGAATTTCAAACTACCACTTTACCAGTCTATAAAACTCTCTTCACAGCTCATCTAGATTTAAATAACAATCTTTGATGTAATACTGATTATTACTTGGCAATTTTACAAGATAGTTCGCAGCAAAGCTTAAGTACCCTGTGATCAGGGTACGGAAGCCATGTTAGTATGGGGATTAAATTTTTCATCAGATTCAATCTCTAACTTACAATGAATGGCGTGGTATTAGAAGGAAAATCTTCCAGTACACTGTCTAATAGAGCATATTTTCGTCGGAAAATAATAATAAAAATTCCATTAAATTTTCAATCTCACTGCGTCGCTTATTGAACCGAGAAACGGGTTTCATTGCAAGACAATCAAAACAAGTTACAAAGACTAAAACAGTCTCATAGATATCTCTACTACAAAGGGATAAAAATGTATAAGAGTAATTTAGCGAGGAGTCGCAAGCCGCGTCTGTAGTCTGTACCCTGTTCCCTCCCGCTCTGGGGAGCTAAACCGAATTTGTGGTTTCAAAATTAAACTCAAATTGGTATAGCCGAGTTTTATTTAATGTATTTTGCATTTAGTTAATATGAGCAAATCACGGGATTATCAATTTAATGCTGATGGCGTCATAATTGTCGCTTAATAACTTTATAAATAAATTCTTTACTTAACCTAATTCTCTTTAAAGTTATTAAATTTAAGGTACGTAAAAAGTTTATTTATGAATTGTATTTAGTAAATAAATAAATCTATTAAGTTTAGCTGTTCTAATTTTGAATGAACGCGTCGTGGATTCAATTCAATTCGCGGGGTCCAAAGTCTTTCTAATTTTAAAAAATTATAATTTTTCTGCAACCTGTTGACCTTCGTGTGGAAATTCGGATATTATATGGATGGTAGGAATATTGAAATTCATACCGGGTATTTCACCTTCAAGCGAAGCCCATGTTTACCTGTCTTAAAAAAACCAATCATCGTCCATAGATGAAACAAATTAATCGCCTTTTGGTTTCGATATGTCCATTTCCAAACATCCAAAGCCGAAATAGGCTACCAGCACATCTTGTGAGATGTCATATGGGAATTTGAGGTAAGTAAACTTGGTGTTCATTCGTGAGGCTTGTCTCTCACCTCAATCATAAAAAACTCTACTATACAGGTCGATTTATTTCAGTGTTAAGTGGGCGATTAAATTTCCCCTCCTCTTTCCGTGTCCCACCAAACAATTGCTGTTTATTATAATCCCATAAACCTAGGAACTCTCGCGCTTAATACAATACCGTTTAACTATTGACCCTCGGAGATAGCATAAAGAATCTATAAGATATTATTACATCACAATGATAACTGAATGAGAACTTTTGTAGGCTTTTATATCGATGATTATAAATGCCGAGTGTTCAAGTAGGTCACATTGGCTACGGTGGACTGCTATTGTGAACGCCA